ATGATCTGCTTTCTAAATACAGTAAAAAAAAAATAAAAACCAAGCTTAATACATTTGCTCATAAGCAATCCTGAGGTGCTTGGGTTTATCAATTGGCTCCAGATCTGGCAAGAATTAATGAACCATTATTAATATCACAGGTTAAATCATATTTTCTTATAGTAGGTCTTTCTTTGGTTCACCGGTTTCCTAATAATGATACAGAGACTTCCTATTAATTATGGAATGTTGGGTTAGCTTAGCCTTGTGCCCAACTAGCTCTTATAACTTAAATTAGCCCATTTGTATTAATCTACATTCTGCCAGGTGGCTCATTATCTTTCCTCTACACTATATGTCTGACTCCCCCTGAGTCTCACTGGCTTAATCTCAAGCACCTTGAATGTTTCCCAAATTCCTCTCTCTCCCAGTCTATCCTCTCCTGCCTAGCCATTGGCCATTCAGCTCTTTACCAAACCAATGAGAAGACATCTTAGGCAGAAACACAACTTCACAATGCACAAATGTTGTTATCCCACAACATTTTCTTGTCATTTTCTTATTTCCTAGGCAAGGTGGGGGGGATAGTACAATATGAAATGGAATCCATTAGACACTAGCAATTTCAAAACACCGTAAGTTAAATTACATGCCCTGAACTCGCAGAGATCCACCTGCCTCTGCTTCCCAAATGCTGGAATTAAAGGTGTGTGCCACTACCACCTGACTGAAAATTACTGATAATTATATTTTTCTAATTTATAGAACCTTAAGAAAGCCAGTGAGGCCTTCAGATAATGAGGAAGAGTATCTGGAAGGGCATGAAGAAAGGAAGGAAAGGGAAGGGGATGGTAGGGGAAAGAAGGGGATGGTAGGGGAAAGAAGGGGATAGTATGGGAAGGACAGGATGAAGGGAGGGAAGGAGGAAGGGAAGGAGGGAGGAAGGGAGGGAGGGAGGAAGGAATGGAGTGAGAGAGGAAGAAAGGGGAGGGGAGGGGAACAAGGAATGAAGGAAAGGAAGGAGGAAGGGAGGGAGGGAGGAGGGAGGGAGGGAAGGAGAGAGGGAGGAAGAAAGAGAAAGGGACAAGAGAGGAAGAAAGGGGAGAGGGGAAAGGAGAGAATAAGGAAGCTGCTATAGGATGCAAAGAAAGGAAGATACTTTGTTACTGAGATGATTTTGTTGGAATATAAAATATTGCCATGGATCTTAAAAGATTCATTTCCAAAATCTTGCCCTCTTCTCTTACCAAAAAATTCCAGTAAAATTTTACAAATTGTTTACTCTGTTTGAAATGGAGCTTTTGGAAGCAGAAACTTCCCTGAGCTTTGTATGGCTTAACCACCATGACTGGGTTCAGTGGGGGTGTGGGGGGGCTTCTATCTCATGGGAGAGCTTGACCTATACCAGCTCAAGTGAAGACAAGAATTATGACTTAACAGCATATGGCTGCAACCTATGCAATCATCTATGCATCTGGGTTTGTTCACAGGGAGTTAACTATACACCATGTGCTTTTTGTCACTGTTCTATAGTCTATTAGTTACTTATCCTGTTGCCATGATAAAACATCCCGACCAAATTACCTGAAGAAATAACTGACGTTGGTTAGCATTTCAAGGGAACCACCCATCACCATGGGGGAAGCTATGGCAGAGCTTGAGACGCTAGTCACGTCACATCGGGTCTGACATCAAGAAGGCAGGAGAGATGGAAGCCTGAGCTCAGCCTGTTTTTGACTCTTACATTTAGTCTGAAACCCTTAAGCATGAAGTGACTATTGCTCAGTCTTCACAGACAAGCCTAGAGATTTGTTTCCATGGTGATTCCAAATCCCATCAAACTCGCAATCAAGATTGACCATCACATACAGTATCTTAAGTCTTTTAAAATTCACTTATTTGAGAGATGTGAAACCATAATGATTATGCCCCTACAATCATATTTTTTAAAAAATAAAAAGGGTTGGGGAGAAGACTGACGAGATGGTTCACCTGTTGAGAGCACTGACATCTCCTTCAAGGGACAGGGTTTGTTTCTTGTCACCCACATGGCACCCAGCAACCATCTATAACTCCACTTCCAGGGTATCTGATTTCAGCTTCTGGGCTCCAAGGGCACCAGCGACACATGTATTACATAAATACATACATACTACAAATAAACATACATACATACATACAAACATGTGGGCAAAACACCCACAAACATATGATAAAATAATAATATATTAGTGAAAGGAAAAAAGTTAGGATGTAAAATGCAGACTGAAGCCAAGTGATGTGTTTTTCCCTTTACTTTCTTTCCTTTTTAAGAGACATGATAGATAGGAAAAAGATAAAGTTCAAGACAGAAATATGGTCTAAAACTTAACCTACAGATTTGCCTTTATAAAGCATCACAACCAAATCTTTTCAGAAAACTGAGAAATGGTGTGAAAAGTCCTTCTTATATGTGTTGCTTTTATTCATTAATTAATAAAGACACTAGCTTGGCCTGTGATAGAGCAGAGTAGAACTAGGTGGGGAAAACTAAACTGAATGCTGGGAGAAAGAATGCGGAGTTGCAAGACACCATGTAGCCACCAGAGGGGAGAGTTGAGAGCTGCCAGTTGGGACCTTGCTGGTAGACCATGAGCCTCATGGTAAAATATAAAATAATGGAAATGGGTTAATTCTAAATGTAAGAGCCAGCTAGCAATATGCTTAAGCTATTGGCCAAACAATTTAATATAGTTTCTGTGTGATTATTTCAGGACACTGGGCAGCCAGGAAACAAACAAGCAGCCTCCAAGAAGAGAGAAAGATTGAACCAGCAAGACTCAGAGAGCCTCAGTCAGTAAGCCTGAAAGCAGGCTTCCCCAGAAGAAAATGGGTGTGGCTTCACTGCAAGGTGTGTACATCCACTGAGGACAATCCATTCTCTCTGCTTCCTCTCCTCCAGATGCAGAAGGCATCTTTACTTAGTAAAGATGTGACTAAGGCCTATGAGACTCCAGGTGGAACATTATTATAGAAACTTAGCAAGATGTCTGATGCTACATTTGCTGTGCCTACATATAATGCCCACGGCATGGTGTCTGCTGTCACAGCTGCCTGCACCTGATTCATGCCATCAACATGGTAGGGACGTGGGTGGAACAAACAGTCGCTTGTTCACAATCCTTCCATACCAGTGGACGGCTGGTGGTGGCCTCCCAAAGCTGGAGAGGACAAAATTGGTACCCACGGTGAAACTGCTTGTGATCTTCTGACACACAATGCAGTTGAACGCTGGGTTGCATGGGCTGTTCGGTGTATCGTCCAGCTTAATTTTTACACTTGACTTGACACAAGCTAGAGTCACCTAGAAAGAAGGAATCGCAGTTGAACTGCTATCAGGCTGCCCTGTAGCCATATCTGTGAGAGATTGTCTTGATTAATGATTAGTGTGGGCGGCCCGTCCAGGGTGGGTAGCACTATCATTAAGCAGATGGCCCTTGACTCAGTTAGATAAAAGGAGCTGAAAGCAAGCTACCTAATGAACAGCACTCCTCTGTGGTGTCTGATCTAGATTCCTGCTCCCAGGTTTCTGCTTTGGGTTCCTGTCCAAATTGCCATAGGTAACAGGACCAAGAAGTATAAGCAAAACAAACCTGTCTTCCTCAAGGTGCTTTTCGCCAGAGTGTTTCAACAGAGCCAAGTAAGTTCAAACCTGAATATTGCTGCTGTGCCCAAGATACGCAGGGATGTATGTTCTGTTTCTATAGCTTTTGCTTCCACTTTTCTCTTCTTGCCTGCTTCAGCACTCAAGTCTCCCATTGTACCAGACTTTCTGAGCCTTTGAGAGTCACTCATAACCGTGAGTTACTCAGTCCCTACTACCGGCCAGGCGGTATTCTGAAACTAAGGGAAATGGTTGTGAGCAGTTTGTCAAATGTTAAGATAGAGTTACACTGTGTGTAGCCCAGGCTTGATTCACGGGGAGACTGTCAGTCTGCTAACTACATGACAATGATGAGCCACATCATAAGCTAATAATAATAATAATTAATAATAATAATGACTTAAAAAATACAAAGGACACAGATCCACAAAAACCAAACCAAACAAACAAACAAAAACAACAACAACAAAAAAAACATTTTTGAAATCCAGAGGGCCCATCAGCCCTTGCAGGAGCCATGCTTTCTCACCCACTCACACTGGGCGGAGAATCACCCTGCATGTGACTCCAGATCAGAAACTTAGAATACTTTAATCAGATAGCTTGAGTCAGGATAAGCGGGCGTTTGTTAAGTAGGCAGAAACAATGCACCCACCACGCCGGACACACTCTACCCAGGAACCCAGCAAGACAGTTCTTACTCATTCTAATCCCCTCCTGAAATCCCTTACATTACTTAGATACACACTAGATTTTAATTCAAATTAGCGTGCAAAGTTAGGCGTCTCTTGGTAAATCACCCTCTCCAGTCTCCGTTTCCAGAGCAGTTTGTCTGGTATAGAACCGGAACGCAGTTTAGGGAAATGTGGTGGCAGGTGTGAATTAACACAGACTGTCCCAAGACCAAACAAGGACTCTGGGTCCAGAGAGACTTCAAAGTACCGGAAAGATTCCTAATAAACCTCTAACCCACCTCCAAAGGTGCACAGGGACCTAAGTTCCACCCTTATTCATTTTCTAGCCTCAGGGTGCAGATCTGCCCTCCAAAATGCCAGATTCCCCAGTACTCCAAGCGCATCAGAATTAAGAGTAGGGCAGTGGGCAGGTCCCTCCCGGAGCCAGCAGCCGCATCCCGGGTTCAGTACCGAGTCCTGTGTGGGCGGCGCGGGTGGAGCCACCCCACGCGCGTCCCGCGGCTCTCGCTGCAGATGCGCCTTAGCCGGGCCGAGTTGGCCCCGCGGCTAGAACGGCGCAGAGTTTGCAAAGTCGCCGCGGAGCTCGTTCGGGAGCGAAGGGGGTGGGCAGAGTGGGGGTGCGCGCGAGAAAAACCCGCCTCTTGTGAGTTGAGCGGGGAAGAGGGGGGGAAAGGCTCCGAGTTCCGCTTCCTGAACGGCGGGTGGGTAGAACAGGCTGGCGCGGCTAGGGGACCGGCGGGACACACTCTCTCCGGGCCCGAGGTGACAGCAGCACGGCCCGCCATGGCCGGCGAGCGGACCCGCAGGTTCACCCGGAGCCTGCTGAGACCCGGGCAGGCGGCCGAGCTCCGACACAGCGCCGCGTCCGCCGCCGCGGTGGCCGTCAGCAACCGGCAGCTGCAGCGGGTAAGTGCCGCGCGTCCTTCGCGCCACGGCAGGACTTGCCAGGGGATCCCAGGCAGGCCTCCAGCCCTGTGAGCCCCAGTTCGGAGCTAGCGGGTCTCCACTCTCTTCCTCGCCGCCTCTTAGAGCGACCCAGGAGCCACCTCCGCCAGGCAGTGTCACTAAAGAATTAAGGACCAGAGGCGCATTTGGGGACTTTAAGGGACATGGGACGCTTAGATGAGCAATGCGTGGGAGATGATGTGCCCACATTATAAGAAGGGTGGAGGAGGCGGGAATGCATCCACACTGGCTCAAGGTGACAAGGGTGACAGGGACCTGAGACATGGGGGCGGGGGAGCGGGGGTGTGATGGTGCAGGGGTAGTATTGGAGATCTACATGGATGGAACCTGTAGATCCACAGGTCCGCGCGCCCCTGTCGTCCCTGTGGAACCTGGAAAAGATGCAGAGTGAGCTCCTCAGCTGGACTAAACTGCAACCCCCATCATATATCTAGCGCCAAAATAAATGGAGTTGGCACAGCCCTTGCTCCACAGGCCGAAACCCCACAAGCTTCTTTATACTGTTGCAGAAAGAGCTAGGGAGATAGGATTGGGGGGGGGGGGACGTGGGTTATTAAGTAGCCGGTGGCTTCTGGTGTATTTTGAAGCGGTTTCATGGGGTTCTCCCTCGAGAAGGCTCCACTGGTTACTTCCTTGTCGAAATGTCTTCTAAGTGTTGGGTGATTTCCGCGGGAAGTCCCTAGGGCAAGCAACCAACATCAGATGCCCACATCATAGCCATGCATCTCCAGATATTCATAAATTCCAGTAGGCGTCACACTATAGGATGGAAGTAGCAAGCAGGGAGCGCACATCAATGGTGATGGAAAAGGGAAGCAGTAGGAAGCAGCCTTCTAGTAAGAGTGGGGCTCTACCACGGAGCTCTTGGCTTGACTTTGTTGGACCAGAATCCTCCTCGTTGTGGGTTTCATTTTCCTTTTTGCCAGTAAATACCATTAGGAATTAAACAGCTCTTTTTAAGAGTGTCAAAGAGAAAGTGTTTCTTTTGCCAGTCACCAAAGAGGAGGGAGCCAAAGCTGGTCCGAGCCAGTTCCCACAGCCAGAACCCTTCTCTAAAGCCAGAGGTCGGGAAGTTGAACAGAGCGGAAGCAAATTGCCTGGCAGAGACCAGAGCATCAGATGCCCCGAAGGGGGGGGGGGGGTGAAGCCTGGGGTGTGAAAAGAACTGGTGGCCAGGCTGCCTTCTCTTTCCCTTCTTTCTCTCGCCACTGGCTGCACTCTGCAGCTACCACAGACTGTTACCCAATCCCTTGACAGTGCCAGTCTGTGGTTTTGATATCAGCATGCACAATTTTAGGAAAGAACAGACAAACTGTCAAAAACGGGACATTCTGAAAAGTAAGTGGAGCTATTAGAAAATCATGCGTGCGCGCATCCGCGCGCACGCGTGAGCACACACACACACACACACACACACACACACACACACACACACACACACCAAACAGTAATTTTTACTTTTAAAGCAGTGGTTTTTAAACTTCAGTTCCCGACCCCTTTGGAGGGTGAATGACTCTTCCACAGGGGTCACCTAAGACCATCAGAAAACACAGGCATTTACATTATGATTCATAACAGCAGCAAAATTACAGTTACGAAGTAGCAACGAAAATAATTTTATCACTGGGGGTCCCGACAACATGAGGAACTGTACTAAAGGGCGGCATCATTTTAATATTTAATTTTAGCATTTGACAGAAAGGTTGAGAACTACTTTTTTAAAAGGTTGCTCGGGGTTGTGCTTTCGTTATTCTTTGCAGTTAGTTTATTTTAGGGAATCTTAGCAATAACATGACAGAAGTTCAGCAGTGATGGCGTCCAACTAGCTTCAACAGCATGGCCTCTTTTAATCTGTGATTTGCTTTTTAAGTTCTCATAATGTTTCTGTAACAATGGAATTTCCATAAATAACATATTCCTAGCTGCCCCTCTACACACACACACACACACACACACACACACACACACACAAATCCCTTTCCCCAAGATTATCTTGCATTTGAAATCCTAATGAGATCTTGTCACAATGAATGAGCACAGTGTCCTTAAGGGCAGTGAGAAGGGCCAGGGCCACTCCACTGGTGCAGGTGCCTTCCTGGCTTCAGCACCTCGGCCAACACTCCAGAACCACTTCTTGCCAAGACATTTCAAGGGATCCTCCACATCTTGGCAGGCAGTGCTGGCCGTGATTTTGGCAGGAAGGCATGCTCTCTGCTCCCTTCCCATCACTTCTCTTGGAGGGAAGCAGGAAAGGTTGGGCTCTTTGAGCTAGCCGTCACACTCAATGGGACCCGCGGTGACACTACACTCTCAAGGGACCGCCAACCTCAGGACGGGCCTACATGGTATGTGGTCATTATAGGCTTGAATTGATTCAGCTTCTTCAACTTCTGTGTGTCTGTTTCTCCCTGCTCTCAAAGTCTGTTTGTTTAAGGGGAAAATGGGAGAGTGGGGAAAGAGTGTGGTCTCTCTGCTGCCACAAGCCATCCTCTATTGTATTTGAGGGATGCTAGGGATTATATATTAATCCTAAGTTAGGGGTGTTTTGTTTTTTTTTCAGAAGGCCCTTTAGAATGTTGCAGAGAGTGTTGTAAGTCTTGGCTTGTGCTCCAGCTAATAGGGATAGACGGAAGGGTCAGATGAACGACATCTGAGAATGAGATGAATTCTTTGAAATACATTTGGAGAGTGGAGAGCAGAGATCAAGGGAAGCTGACTGAAGGCCATGGTCAAGGTCAGCTTAGACAGCAACTGCCACAGGAAATAGAATGGATGCCAGAGGAAACTCAACTTCAGTGTTATCCAAACCACTGAATTAGATTTACATGTGTACATGGAAGCTCTTGACTTGGCCCTAACACATTTTGCTTCTTTCTAAGAACTATTTTGAACAAAGACATCATCCCTTTCATTACCCTAATTTCTTTTTAGGAAATTAATGGCTAATAGCTTGTTTTGTGGCCAAATCATAATATTGTCAAGTTTAAACTATTCCCTGAAATAGCTCTGTCTGTTGTCTTATGAGTAAGCTTTTCTAGTGTAGAATTTCAGATGTAATATAATTGGAAATTGTAAACAGAGGTTGCTTTTTGTTTACTGGCAACCTAGACCTGAATAATCATATAAAACTTTATTAATTACAGTACTGTTTGGCCTATGGCTCAGGAGTATTTCTAGCTAGCTCTTATATTTTAAATGAACCCATTTCTATTAGTCTATGTATTTCCATGTGACCTGGTGTTATCTCATTTTCTACATGTCTTGTTTCCTTAGCAGCTGACTTGCATCTCTCTTTCCTTCGGCAGCTACAGGACATCTCCCTGACTCGTCTTCTTCCTGCATTCAGTTTAGTTTTCCTATCTAACTCTATTCTGTCCTGCCATAGACCAAAACAGCTTCTTTATTACCCAATGTTAATAAGATATATTCATAGCATAGGGAGGAGAATCTCACATCAGGAAATATGTCTCCTATGTTAGGACTTGAGCTTTTTATCACCATGGTTCAACACACATATACATGCCAGGTTATTTTTAAAGTGGTATTGATACTAGTTTGAAATTCTTTCTTGGTAAAAATCTTTTCTTCAAAAATAATGGGGGGGGGTATCTGTACTTTTTCATGAATTGGCTTATATATGTAACTTTTTACTTTTAATTAAAATATAAATTTAAGAAATGTGTACCTTTCTGCATATATGTTTGGTTGCATTGCCAACAAGCACCTTTAAGAAGGATAAGTAATTCTGATGCAGTACCACATTGGATCTGTAATGTGTTTACAGAAGGTTGTCAGAAGGATGGGAGGCTTTGGGCAACAGAGAAAACATCAAATGGCAATCATTACACAAGCAGGTGGCTGATAAGCCAAGGACTAAATAACCATTTGGTCAATTGGTGCCGTCACTGGCGTCCATTAGTTTATTTGTGTGTGCAATTTAATACATTTATGATAATTTTTTTGTTACCCAGAAGATCCTCTGTAACTCATTCTTAATTGTATATAATTTGTTATTAACATCTTTAAAAGAGGAAACAGCCTGTCAGAAGTGATTGCAGTTAGCCATGATTTTTCCTATGCCTACACACTCAAGAAGCATAAGGGGTAAAGAGAAGGAAGTGCTTATCCGGTAATCACAAGAACCCCATCTGCTTGCCTTGATGTCTTCTAAGCGTGGTGTCTACTTACAATACCACCTTTGACGTTTTAGGGAGTACTGAATAAACAGAAGCTTTGACCTCCCAAGAGACTTTGAGAAGGAATGAGCATCCACTGTGTTTGCATGAGGAATTCCTAGAAGGAAAAATGTCTTCCCTCTGAACTTTGTGACATTTAAATAGTGGAGAGTAGGAGGGATTTTTTTTTGAAGATTGAGTGGGGGAGTCTGGAATTTCTGAAAAATTAAACCAGAAGGAAGTGGGAAAATGTTCAAAGTGCTATTGAATGAAAACAAAGCGGTTATTTTGCTGTGAGCATCCTGCATTAAAAGCAATATGCAATATGCCTGTTAGTTGGGCATCTAAGGCACACAGTCCTTTAACAAGAAAGATTAGTTGACTCACTTATGATTTTCATGTGTATGTGGGTGAGACTGCATGAGTTGATGCATACCACATGTGTGTAAGGGCCCATGGAGACTTGAAGAGGGTGTGCCATCCCTTGGAACTATAGTCGCAGGTGGTTGCAAGCTGCAATTAGGGTGCTGGGAACCAACTCCCCCCACCCCACCCCCGGTCCTCTGCAAGAGTAGGAAGTGCTCTTAAACATTGGACCATCTCTCTAGCCCCAACATTTTCCTTGTAACGAGACTCTTTATGACAAGAAGAATTGTTTTGACAGCCATCACTCTTGGGTTTGTTTCAATATGAGTAAATTCCCTTGACGTCTCTGCTTGATGAGGAAGTCAATATAAATTTTACAAGATCAAGTCCAAATGCTAT